TACGTCTGCTGTAGGGAAATAGGTTTCATGCCAGTAAATGTGATTCGTTTTAAGAGCTCCATTTCTCCTTTCGTCAATTTAACAGCATCTTATTACCCACTATGCATGAAAGATTTAATATTGTTACTTGTGAATATAAATATTCCTACCCAGGTTTATTTTATCATGGTCAGAATCATTTTGTCAGAAATTTCAGTTGTCACAATGTAGGCAATACTTACAAAAGGGGCCATCTTAATGTAGTTTATTTCCATCTCTTAACGCTGTTATTTGTAACAATGTTAATTTTTTATTCATTTTGAAAATGTAACGTTTCCGTAAATTACATTTCGACGATAAATTGTAAAAACAACCATTTTGATAACATATATGATTATAAACTAGTGGGTTTAAAGAAACTGTGTTTACGTGTTCAAAATACGGGAGAAGATGTATGAAAGCGATATAGCCGATAAATAATTTTGGTCGCTGTCTAAGTGGAGGCCATTTGTCGCATCCATTTGTTTCCCTCGCTTTAACTGAGATGAATAGTTGCACGTGCCTTTGGTAACGTCTTTTCACAACACGTGGTCCTGTTCTCCAGGCGGATGTCCTGTACCCATGCGAACTTCCCGGTAATTGTACGTCTGGATAGGCGATGATGACGTCACAGACACATATAATTAGCCATAAGGTTAATAAAAAAAATGTAACAAGTCGCGGAAGCGAGACTAGAGCACCGTTTACGTTGGTATTTGATAGGATAACACGTGCTGTACGATCTGGATGACACGGAGGGTGTGAAATCTCGGGTGGATAAGGGACCAACTATTGCATCTCCATTGGTTAGATGGACGACTTGTCTCATAGAATTTTAAGGCACATGGACAACGTTTACCGAGTCAGCACTATTTGACATTTCGAATCGAATGATCTAGTTAACTGTCAGACATAAGAAAACGATCGGTGATAATATGCGATCGGGTACGTCATTCGTTCCCCCAAAAATGGCCTTTGTAGATCGCAGACCGCATACGTAAAATCCGATTGTCTCGCCACACCACGCCAAACGTTACATTATGTATACGTTCAAAGGAACTCTTTTGAGTTTTCCATAGTACAGTAACTTAATAGGACGCCCGTTGTCTTGGTGACGTCATTTTGGTATTTTGAGGCATACTTTAAGGCGCCGATCTAGCGATGTACAGGTGAAAATTCATTATTTAGAAGAAAATTTCGGGAAAATAAAAGGAATCCTTGATAATTATTTATTCATATTTTGTTTGAATTAAGTAGCCTTGGATCTCCAGTGTTGGATATACATGTTCGTACGGAATATATATAGAAAAGGCGTCCTTATTTGTTCTGTCAGTGTAAAAACTACCTTCAAATCGTCTCGTTACGGACGTCCGGCACGGTCCCGCCACGATATGACGGCGGTATAGCAATCAATCTGTAAAGCGTCTAGCGGGCATTGATTGGGAAAAACATATATCTGACTTCAACTAGCATCACCTAAATCAGTGCCGGTCCGGGGTATGGTCATGGCGCAGTCGTATCGACTGGGCAGACCCCGGGGGTTAATGAACAGCAACCTGTGTCTGCCGGTCTACTCTTATCGGAGGGAACAGACAGTTAAACATGTATAGTATCAAGTTACAATATTTCCCATTGGCCATGTTAAAACGGAACGATTTCGGTCCTTATAGCCGCTTACATGTACCTGTCACATTTTGCCGCATTTATAAATCCATATCATTTAGGCGCTTGATTTAAGTAGTTGTGCTTTGACAATACGTAAGTCATGCGCACATCTTGATTTGAGGTTCCACTGAGCTTGATTTAATTGTGTCGGACATTTGCGTCCGAGCAATGATTGGATACTTTGTATGATATAGCTACATCGTTAGAGCGGAGGACGATTGGTTCACATATGGTCGACCAAACTTACGCTGCTTGCACAGGAAGAGAAAACTGATGTAAACAACGTAATTACTACCAAGCAAGGACAGAGCAAACGAACCTTCCCCAAGGTCGTTCCTCCGATCCAGGGCGGAAGTTTTCCCTGCGATGCCAAGAGACTGGGATTTAGGCAGATATATACTCAGCTGGTAGAGACCTACGTTTGTAGATACGCGAATATAATTTAGAAACTTTAAGAAGCTTTATTGTCGAATTCTTATTCAATCCTGTGGCTTTACTGTTTCCAATTGTATTATGGTAAACGTCAGGGTCACGGTCAAAACGTTACGGAGTTTTTGGATATGGTTGGCGGCCGGGCTCATTGCCACTCGTGTCGCTGACATTTGGTCTATCATCCTAACCGGAATTGCTTTGATCAAATTTCCATAAAAACGACCATGATTGTGCTTTTCCTTCATGTAAACATGGACGGGATCAGTAAGGAACTAGTTTCATTAGTCCTGGGTCGCAGTTCGAGTGTTTTATAACAATATCATATGCCTTTGTATGGTCGGCAAGTCTTCTCATTTGGAAGCAAGGGTCTGCTTAAGTGTGCTGTATACACGGGTTGATGTTGGCTATAGACGGACGGGCAATATCCAAGCTGTATTACACTCTCCTTGATTGCGACTGTTAGAATTAATGATTTCGATCTTTGGAAATCCCGGGAATGAGTTTTACTGACTCATTCCATGATCCAAGGAAAGGTTCATTGGTTGGGTCTCAGACTTTGAATTCCGAATAGGATCGTGTTGCTCATTACCGGATTTGGTGCCGGTCATTACATTGATGTTGTCTGTCCCTTAGTGTCTTGTGTAGGTGCTGGATACGACGGTCACTCCCGCCCAAATACACCCGACCCGTCGCTGGTCACCATCACCATCATCATTAAAAATCAAGGTCACTTAATGATCACTTCAAGGTTTCACGGTCAAACTACATTTAAGGAACAAAGTCACACAAGGATTGTGTCTCATAGAATTAATTCAAAACTACAGAAAGGTACTGCTTACTCTCACAGAACCAATTTGTAGTTACAAGGATATTAATTGGTACAATGTAATGTCTGAGCGCTTCAATTGGTAGTCACAAACTATTTATTAGTAGTCTTGCAGCTACAGAATATTTATTCGTCGTATTAATTGTTAGTTACCGAGCAATGCTTGGAAGTGTTGGGATATTTATTTGTGGTAACATTATAATAATACGTATTATCTCGGAGCACCAGCTTGTAGCTACAGGATATTAATTTGTGGTATCATTATAGTAATACGTATTATCTCGGAGCACCAGTTTGTAGCTACAGGATTTTAATTTGTGGTAACATTATAGTAATACGAATTATCTCGTAGCACCAGTTTGTAGCTACAGGATATTAATGTGGGGTAACAGTATAGTAATACGAATTATCTCGGAGCACCAGTTTGTAGCTACAGGATATTAATATGGGGTAACATTATAGCAATACAAATTATCTCGGAGCACCAGTTTGTAGCTACAGGATATTAATTTGTGGTAACATTATCGTAATACGTATTATCTCGGAGCACCTGTTTGTAGCTACAGGATATTAATTTGTGGTAACATTATGGTAATACGTATTATCTCGGAGCACCAGTTTGTAGCTACAGGACATTAATTTGTGGTAACATTATAATAATACGTATTATCTCGGAGCACCAGTTTGTAGCTACAGGACATTAATTTGTGGTAACATTATAATAATACGTATTATCTCGGAGCACAAGTTTGTAGCTACAGGATATTAATTTGTGGTAACATTATAGTAATACGAATTATCTCGGAGCACCAGTTTGTAGCTACAGGACATTAATTTGTGGTAACATTATAATAATACGTATTATCTCGGAGCACCAGTTTGTAGCTACAGGATATTATTTTGTGGTAACATTATGGTAATACGTATTATCTCGGAGCACCAGTTTGTAGCTACAGGATATTAATTTGTGGTAACATTATGGTAATACGTATTATCTGGGAGCACCAGTTTGTAGCTACAGGACATTAATTTGTGGTAACATTATAGTAATACGTATTATCTCGGAGCACAAATTTGTAGCTACAGGATATTAATTTGTGGTATCATTATAGTAATACGTATTATCTCGGAGCACCAGTTTGTAGCTACAGGATATTAATTTGTGGTAACATTATAGTAATACGTATTATCTCGGAGCACAAGTTTGTAGCTACAGGATATTAATTTGTAGTATGTACTTCCATTTGGAGCATCATTTTGAAATCACAGAACATGTGTGTGCACTCTATTTTATTACGTCATACTGTTGCTCAGAGAGGAAATCTCAGATTAGTACATGTACGTTTTAGTCTCTGAATCAAATATTATTTTTGTATTATATTTTATTTTATTTTTTTGCAAATTCGAGATGAAGAATTGTTGATTTTAAGCTCGGGGCTTTGCCGAATGCTTTAATCTGCAATTAATCACCGGGATCGGGAAATTTATTATACCACGGTGCCAAAAAAGATTACATGCTTCTTACATAAGACAAAAGCAGATGATTGCTGAGACCTTATAACCACAAGTCATTGTAAACAGCGTTTGATGAATTTGGCGCGAAAACGTGGTTCTTGCTTCCAAAATTACCTTGCAGGATTATTACGTCACAGATTGCGAGGTCAATATCTGAATAAGTTTGAATAAAGGAATATTTACTCCTGCTTGAAAGTTGCAAAGTGATATAGAAGGTTTAGAGTGACGCCTCAACCGATTCCGACACCATGCGTCATTTTCAAGAGATAATTGTTTTGGTGAAGGTCGTTCAAATTAGAATTTTGTATATTAACAAATAAAAAAAATATATATATAAACTATAATACAATATAATACTCATCTAAAAAACAAATGTAGGTGTGTGATAAAATATCCCACATATTTTTCATCAGACGTCATTGGCAGGACTACTTTATTACACGGACTAAAATATATTAGCAAGACTACATGTTCGCGTAGTATTCGTGGATATATTGAAATATTATGTTCAACATGTTATAATAGTGTTTTTATTGTTTTGCAGGACGAGAAAAACCAAATTATGACTACAAACGTCTGGCTTCGTCAGGTAAGGCATCACATCACAAGAGTGATTTTCTCTTGAAATCAATCTTCAAATAAGGAGGACGAAATGTTATCGTTCATAATAACTGCATTCAATACGAAGCACGAGAACTTGCGCTTTTTTGTATATATGTTAGAATAATTGACATTATGAACAGAAAAGGCTATAACTGTCGGTTGTAACTACACACTATTTCAAACATTTAGATGAGTTATTGAGATAACACGTAGTAGATTCAACACGATAACGTTTGATTTAAAACACACATTCACCAAGACCTATCGAGTTTGTGTGTTGCCTGGCCTATACGTTTGCCCATCGCTCGGAGTAGGGAATCCGTTGCCATTCGAGAGACGGGAGCCTCACAACGTTAGCGCATCTGATGGAGGTAGTGTTCCCTATCGGCACTATTTTATTCGTAATATAAGTCATAAATGCTTTATATCGTCGATAGGATCAGCAGACATGTGTTAAATCACATTTAAAGTACAGAATCGCCTGGTTTACGGACGCCGTTATAACGATACCCTGGTCAATGATAGATGATTCGCTCTCTAATTCAGATTGATTTATTTTTGCTCAGTTTGACCAAAGCAATTGTACTAAGCCCGGATTCCCCGTCGCCGTATCTCTAACTATACACTCACTAGATGGATTCCGCTACAGCAGTGAGGATGAGTATGAGAGAGAGCAGCTGGCTATCGATGTTTGTACCGATCAGTCGAACGTTTGTAGCCGACCTGTCATCAACACTGGCTAAACAAAATACGGCGTTTGAGTAAACGTTCATGGTAAACTATTCGATCTTTGACGTTTTACAAGGTCGGTCTGTAAATGAAATGGAACTAAGGACAAACCAATTTCTCGTTCGGACACGAAACTGAAAACATTATGACTTTTGGACGTAAATAACGAATGACATAATTGTCAACCATGCTGAAACCTCCATAAATAGTTATGTGCCTGTACATCATGTATGTAAAGCCAAGTCGTTCCATTCATTTACTGATATGAATGATAGATACTCTCGGAAGTTGTCACTTTTAATAAAACGCCCATGTGGAGATGGGTCTACGATACATGCCGAACGTCTCTGAATGTGATGTCGGAGCTTGGCAGATGTACATTTGTAGCCGTGTGTCATTGCTGCTGTGTGTTATTGTAACCGCTTTTTAGTTAGAAGTATTGATGTGTATCTGCCTCGCTAAAATACATATTTTTCAAGCTTAATTAGTTCATTCCGTATTTGAAAACGTTCCGTTTGAAATCTAAATGACGGTATCGTGTAACCGCGCGTTACACGGACTTTATGTAAGAGGAGAACGTGGCACAGGATCGGAGGGCTCATCATTATTGTTCTGTACTGAAACATGTAATCAGGATCCTCAAGTCTTCTTACCGCCGAATTATTAACGGTGGGTGACATATGCCGGGATATGTAACCAACACGCGATGTACGACCTCACTGCACGTGCATTTTGAGCTATAATAACGCAACAGCACGCGATTTGTCGGTTTGAGAAAAGCTAACGTACGGCGTATAATAACCAAGTGCAAGAAACACTTTTATTGATTCCCAAACAAATTGTTTCAGACATATTTTTTCAACATATGATGTAATATTGAAGAAAGCGATATTTCAACGAACTTTGTATCTGACAAAGTATTCCGGATAACCGTTTTTTAGCTCACCTTGCACAAAGTGCCAAGTGAGATTATGCCGTTGTGCGTCGTCCGTCGTCCGTCCGTCCATCCGGCGTCAATATTTTACTTTAAACGACTTCTTCTTAATAACTGAAAGGCCTAGGGTGATGATATTTGGCCAGAAGCAAAGTGGGATGAAGGGCTACCAAGTTTGTTCAAATAAATGACCTTTACCTATGTTCAAGGTCACAGAGGTCAAATAGGTTAAAAACTTTAAACAACTTCTTCTGAATAACTTAGAGGCCTATGATAATGATATTTGGCCAGTAACATGCTATGATAAAGGACTACTAAGTTTTTTTAAAAATGAATGACCTTTACCTATATTCAAGGTCTTAAGGGTCAAATATGTTTAAAGCCTTTTAAACAACTTTTTCTCAATAATGAAAAGGTTTAGGATGATGCTATTTGACCAGTAGCATGCTGTAACAGAGGGCTACAAAGTTTGTTCAAATGAATTACCTTGACCTATATTCAAGGTCACAGAGGTCAAATATGTTTAAAACCTTTAAACAACTTCTTCTGAATAACCAAGAAGCCTAGGATAATGATATTTGACCAGTAACATGCTGCGATAAAGGGCTACCAAGTTTGTTCAAACAAATGACCTTTACTTATATTCAATGTCACAGGGGTCAAATATGTTTAAAACCTTTAACAACTTCTTCGGAATAACCAAGAGGCCTTGGATAATGATATTTGGTCAGTAATTTGCTGGGATGAAGGGCTACCAAGTTTGTTCAAATGAATGACCTTGATAAACTTTCAAGGTCACAGGGGTGAAGTGTGTTAAACATCTTCAAACAACTTCTTCTCAATAACCAAAAGGCAAAGGGTACTGCTATTGGGCCTGTAGCATGCTGGGCTGAAGGGCTAGCAAGTTTGTTCCAATGAATGACCTTGACCTGCTTTGAAGGTCACAGGGGTCAAATGTGTTAAAATATTCAAACGACTTCTTCTCAGTAACCAAAATGCCCAAAATACTGATATTGGGCCTGCAGTATGCATGGATGAAGGGCTACCATGTTTGTTCAAATCAATGACCTTGTCCTTTTTTTTCAAGATCACAGGGGTTTTATATATGTAAGATCTTTAAACAACTCCTCTTCTGAATACCTAAGAGGCATAGGATAATGCTATTTTGCCAATAACATGCTGGGATGAAGGGCTACCAAGTTTGTTCAAATGAATGACCTTCATCTATGTTCTAGGCCACAGGGGTCAAATATGTAAACATCTTTTAAAAACTTCTTCTCAATAACCAAAAGGCCTTGGATGATGATATTTTGCCAGTAACATGCTGGGATGAAGGGCTACCAAGTTTGACCAAACAAATGACCTTCATCTATTTTCAAGGCCACAGGGGTCAAATATGTTTAAAATCTTTGCACAACTTCTCCTGAATACCCAAGAGGCCTAGAACAATGATATTTGACTAGTATCATGCTCAGATGAAGGGCTACCAAGTTTGTTCAAACAAACGACCTTCGCCCATTTTCAATGTCACAGGGGTCAAATATGTGTAAATCTAAGAGGCAAAGGCTAATGATATTTGGCCAGTAACATGCTGGGATGAAGGGCTACAAAGTTTGTTCAAATGAATTACCTTCATCTATGTTCAAGGTCACAGGGGTCAAATATGTTTAAAACCTTTAATAGATTCAAATGGATCGAACACAGATGTTTTGCCTGTAGCTGTATATTAGTCCACTTTTAAGATTATAAGTGTGAGATTAATACCAGCTGAGCGATTCAGGCCCATAGGGCCTCTTGTCCTTATTAGACACGTTTCTTCACATCCGAAGGGAACTTTCGGACTTTCTTTACAGTTCTGTCTTTATTCGATTATTAACACCTTTTTTCGGGATTTTATGTAAAGTAATAATTGGAATAACTTTTAAATAGTTATGGCAATATTGGCATTGTTTTAAAGCCGAAAATCCTGGAACAGTTTCAGAAGTTAATATCTAATTATCTAATTTCATTAGAATTGCTTTTTGTTTTGTTCTTTTTCATTTATATTCGTCTAATCTGTATTTCAACAACTCGATTATACATGTAAATGTATCCCAAAAATATAGTCATACGTTTTTTAAAGTGCGTCAGTTGCTGTTTAGCAGTGGTACATGTATCAGAAGGTCAACAGTAGTATGTTCCGAGAGTTGCCCACCCGTTCGGAAAAAGGAAAACGTTTGATAAAGAAAAAACAATTTATTTTCAGGAAGACTGTTTGAATCTGCGATAAAGGACAATGGTTTCATTACCGCGTCAAATCTTGTAGAAAGTAATATTTATATAAAAATGCAATTAATATTGACTTTTTAATTCAAACTTAACATGCCTATTTTTTTAAACATGTCTTAGTGTAAAAAAAATGATTGTTTAAACAAACACAAATATACCTAAAAGCCATTGGTATCAATAAGAAGTCTGATGTAAATTTTGTTAAACGTATGTCACTTCGTAACCAGACATTTACAGTAGTGTAACTTATAGTGGAATCCAAGTCAAATATACAGAAACAGATCAGACTAAAACACCTGTCCAGACTTATAATAAAACGGAAGTAGAATTAAACGATGGACAATTCTGTTCTCGTATATCGAGCTGAAATACCGCACGTGTTGGAGAGATGCCATATTAAGTGCACGTGTACATAATATATTGGATGGCTGGCCTGCTGGATATATGGCCGTGTAAGAACGCAAATTGTACACTTTAACCGTGTTTTGTGGGGAATTATACGGGTTAATTACGTGTACATGTGTAGGTCTGTGAGACCGGTTACATAAACATATGGTTTATTATCTGTGCATGTTGGTGTGTGGTGATATTGTAGCGAGCGTGCCATTTAATGACTCCTAGGGCGGTGTCATTGGACGCTGGTTACCTGCCTGTGGTATACATTTTATTTTGTAAGGGGCTGTATCTAGTTATTAAGGTTATAATGGATGTGGCTGGTTATTTACTAAGAGTGTAAACTTAATTCATTGGGGCCATATCAAATTCATAATGACTATTTCTAGTGTAATTTATTTCGACTGAATCTGGTTGCTTACAAAGATTGTATATTTAATTCATACATGTATATCTAAAATACATATATAATGACAGTATCTAGTGTATATTTAATCTATAGTGACTGTACCTGGTTACCTACAAACGTACCTAACATGTTTATTAATTTATAGCGACACTCATATCTGGTTAGTTGCTAAAAGTATATATTTATTTTATCGTGACAATATCTGGATACTTGCTAATGTATGGTTACATTTAGTTAGAATACATGGGTTCTTACAGGAATGTTAAATTTAATTTACAGGGACTAATCCGTCTTTGCGTATTTCAGAGATATCTTCTCTTGTTAGCAGGTATTGATTGTTACGTCGTTTGTTTGTGAGAGTAACGTCATCATTTTTTGATAATTTTCTCAAACAAACCAATGACGTAACAATCAATACCTTTTCACAAGAGAAGATAACTCTGCAATACGCAAAGACGGAACATATATCTTATTAGTTACTGTAAGTGTATATTTGTTTTATAGGGACTATATTCAATTTATAGGGACTGTATCTAGTTGCTTATTAGAAGTGTATATTTAATCTAGAAAAACCTATGTATACATATTCCGTCTTTGCGTATTGCAGAGTTACCTACTCTTGAGAGCAGGTATTGATTGTTATGTCATTGGTTCGTGTGAGACAATTACGTCGTTTTCTCAAAAATTGATGACGTTACTCTCACAAACAAATGACGTAACAATCAATACCTGCTCTCAAGAGAAGATATCTCTGCAATACGCAAAGACGGAATAACGCACGTAACAACTCTTGCAAATTAAAGCTTCTAGCAGTCTTCGCTTGGGAGAAAACAGAGACATGTTTATTATAACAGACTTGTTTGAAATCATTGGTATCGAGGAGTTGTCACTATACACAGGTTGTCAGAACCGCCACTGAATGTGGAAATTTCTATATCTAGCTGCCTAATAAGTAATTGCCATATATATATAGTATATGCACACAGTGCTTAACGTTGAACATATATTCTTGCAAAAGATATATAATATAATGTATTATTAAATATATAGTGGGACCTTGTTATACTGCCAGAGTTTATCTAGCGAAATGTTGACGTCATAAAGAAGCAAAATTGAAATAGTAGTAAAAACTAACTATTTGAAAAGGAAAAGAGGACCATGAAATGTGTTGACAGTAAGCGAGGTGTTAAATCGATTGAGGGGCGAAACATCGAGGTTTTACTGTATATATAAGTGTATGCACATATACCCTCGTTTTCGAGCTGACCGTTAGAATAAGATATCGCACGTGGGCAAGCCATACAATACAAACTATTCTAACTTACAGGTTTTGGCTATACAATGTATTGCTTTACTGCTTTGGTGTGACGTCACTTTGTCCGGCCCTTATTGTTGTTTACCACACATCTCTTGATTTGGCAGTTTTCCTACCAATTCCCAGGCCATTCATGCTTAGTTTACAATGGCGACTTTTCACCCAAGACGACCATCATTCCGTACAAAAGTGTGTTCATGTCCAAAAGTTCGCTTTGATATAAAGATCACTGCGATTTAAAATCAATAATTGTTTTTGCTTCTGATCAGGACACAGCCAATCCACATAGTTCGACTAATGAGGAATTTTACTTGAAAAACATTAAACCACGTACGTGCTACCGGTGTGTCGGTGGTACTCGATGACGTCACATTATGACGAAAGGCGATGAAGGGGGTAAACAATTTCGGATTTGTTCTTTCTTTATGTACAGGAGTGAACTGAATTTGTCCCGTCGACAGAATCTTGATGAAATGTGGTCATTGTGATATTGGAACAGACCTCTTTATTAAGACAAATATCGCTCTTTACACACACTTATTTATGCAAATTGTATTATCCATAAGAAGAAAGTCAGGTGTTCTAATCCAAAAATAAAAGTTTCTGCAAAACGATGTCCATTCTAAAGAGGTTATACTGTAGCCTGCAAGGTGATGGGTAACTTAATTCCTAAAACGATCCCGTGTTTCTGCCTTTCTGTGTGGGGGACAGACACAATGACGTCACGGCTTACCTAACCCGCTTTGTCCTCTCTCTCACCCTACTAACCAGGAATGGTATGACTACAAATTGAGCTGGCAGAAGGCAGAGTATGGAGGGGTGGACCGACTCTACGTCCCCTCAAAACAAATATGGCTACCGGACATCGTACTTTACAATAAGTAGGTAGAGGTTGGTACTGGTCAATGTAGTGGTCAGCATGCTAGTTCTCCAATATGTCGCACGGACACATTATCGTGATCAGACTAAATACGCCTTTACATGACAAACTCTTTCTGTTCTGCAAATGTACAAAGTAAATCCGTTAAACATGTGTATGTTTTCAAGCAAAACAATGCAATATGACCATGCTGTAATGGAACAAAATCTGTAAAGCATGTCAGTCGCCAAACCACAATAATAGTCCGCGGGTATTGGAGGATATATATGTCGTGGGTACTGACGACATCGGGACCATCCAGGAGTCAGGTAATGAAGAAAATCCAAAGAGGACATAACTAACGATTTTCCTTTTTTTATTCTACGTATTTTTGTATGTAAATTTCAATTTAGATTGAACATTCATGACATTTTGAAAATACAAACAGTAGCGTGATGTCGATCCTTTTGAACTGTGCCAGGCCATGGCTTGGTCCGGTGCCTGTTGAGTCGTTAGCCCTGTTATAAAGGTAAGACACCAAGGGTAAACCATCACTCATAACATATCCCGTCAACGCTTTGTTTTTTGTGTGGGCCTTTGGTTTCTGTTATCTAAGAATAATAAACTAACATAGAACGGTACGGAACGGAAGCAGCGAGGCCAGGTTACCGTACGTATTCTACTGCGCACTCTGTCCTCTCCTGGTCTTCTCACTTCCTGCATTAGACGAGCATGCGCATGGGGCGTGGAACAGGTCTGTACTAACACTGGGAAGCTCGTGTTTTACAAACTGACTTGGTTTAATTATTTGTTTCTGAAAGTGGTGGTTTGACGCCAGCTTGGTTTGGAACCCGGCCGAATATGCCAACATCACCAAACTGGAGGTACCTTCCCCCAAAATATGGACGCCCGACATTGTCCTCTTTAACAAGTAAGTACGCATGTACTGGAAGTTTGGACTTTTTCTTTCTTATTTATGTCCGTTCGTTAATGTACTGTATGATCATTTTATTTACTTTTCATCAGCTCGTGTCATTGATTATAATGAAAAAGAAATGTAAATGTTAATAATGTGTTACATATATCGAAGAGATCTAAAAAGTGATGATTTTGATTGTCATAACCTTATAACATTATATATAAATCATCAGCATCCATTTTTCGAGTGTAATATTTTGGCATGGTTGTTCAAAAGGTGATTAGTTAAGTAGATAGTGTAATTTTTGTTTTTCTTGTATCTTTAAAAAAAAAAAGCATCACTTGATTTTAAATTTTACAGACAGTTAAGATATTACCAATGTAAGTTATATCCAAAATTACAAGTTTTACAAGTTCATAGACGGATTTATTAGATGTTGAAAATGTCGTTAAACAATTATTAAGCTAATCACCTAAAAAAACCAGCTGGATCATGGTTTCTCCAATTGACAGAAAAATATCGTATCCGTGTTATTAATGGAATCTAAAGCCGTTATGGAGAATACTCGTTATACAATGATAATGGTCAACACTGACCATCTCTGGACCTACTGTGAATGTGCGTGCATTTATAAAGTACATGTGTTTATATGACGTACTTACATGTATATAATGTGTTTAATATTTCTTTATTTTCCTTTACATGTTTAAGCAATGTCATGTCATATATTTCACCATGAACACACTTTTCATGATTTCACATCGAGTGCTTGTTTTAGCTATTTGATACAGAGACATACTAGATTCACGGTTAATGTTTATATAATGACTTATATTGGCAATGAATTTACTACAGATTTTTTGATCGAATGATTACATGGAATTTTATTTTGTTTCAATTGTTTCACGTATAGTATGTGAAGTGCACATGACATTTCATTGTAGCATTTTTCTTTTGAAGGATTGCAGTGACTGTCACGTTTAACAACACTTAAAGCACGTGACGCCCCGTGCGTTGAATAAATGTCGGACTTGCTTTTCAGACAAACTATTCCTAAGCGAGGGATAGTCGAGAGCATATTGGAATACACAAAGCAATTACTCTCCAAAATGTCTTTTTTCTTCCCACGCCAAAATTTAATTTGGATTGATACACATCCTGTTTTATTAGAAAGTGAGTAGTATATACAGTACATAGGGTACGTCACCAATGATCCATCCTTGTTTAGAAGTATGTCACCGATTATCTCCCTTAGCTAGGAAGTATGTCACCGATTATCTCCCTTAGCTAGGAGGTATGTCACCAGATGTCGGTTCACGTCTCTCACCCTTTGTTGCATGGTAACCAAACACGCAGAATTCTTTATTTTCACAAATCGAAACTAATCAAACTTAAAGATTTTAACAAATTACTTCCATGTCGAAAACATCGATATCTTTATTTGTACAGAAGAGTGGGTCGACATTACAACGAATTGGGAGGACATTTTTATTGTAGGGGAACTTAGGTTTAGGGTTGTTTAGTCACTGTTTTAAACCCAAAGGATTCGTTTAGGCGCGGTTCCACGGTTACCCCCTCCCCGGGACATCTCTTTTACTGTGCCTCCATCCTCCCCCGGGACAATACGCGTTATCAATCTAATCAATACCAATGCATGTCGCTCTGTACACTTTATTGAGTATCGTAATGAAAAGCTGTTCGAATAAATCTTTGTCACCAGTGGTTACATAATTGGCCTCTCCGAAAAGCCGGGACATATTGCATCTCGGCAGAGCTGACGTATAGGAATATTGACAGCCCTAATGTAGCCAAACACATAAAAACCAATATCTGCTCCTCGCGCTCCAAAGGCTGCCAAACTTGGTCCTTGTTTCCCCTACGGAGGAACAACACCCTGTAAAAATCGAAACAGAAGCAGGAATTGTTGCCTGCTAGCCTACGGTGTGTTGATTTGGGGATTTGTCACGTATCGGCGGGAAATCTCAATTTCCTTATGCCAATTATATTGACAAGATACATTTGAATCTTCATCTTGAGTTCATGCCCAATATGACACGATATTGTTTACGGTTCGGTTCTAGGCGAGTACGGTAGGATGATCGAATAAATTGAGTATGGGCCAGTATGCTACTGAAAAAGACTAATAACTTATATTATACAGATTCTACACCATACGTGTATAAATAAAAATAGATTGAATAGTATAAAAGCCTTCACATGTACTATCTATGTATCATACAGGTCCGTAAAATGTACGATAAAAATAACATATCGGCCGTCAACCTATAGCGAATAAAAATCTTAGACCTTCAACTTATACCGTCTAAATTTCTTAAATATCTTAGAGGCCCTCAACCTGTACATGTACCATCTAAATACCTCACAGGCCCTCAACCTGTACATGTACCATCTAAATATCTTACAGACCCTCAACCTGTACATGTACCATCTAAATGTCTTGCAAACCCTCAACCTGTACATGTACCATCTAAATATCTTAGACGCCCTCAACCTGTACATGTACCATCTAAATATCTTAGAGGCCCTCAACATGTACATGTACCATCTAAATACCTCACAGGCCCTCAACCTGAACATGTACCATTTAAATATCTAAGAGGCCCTCAACCTGTACATGGACCATCTAAATATCTTAGCGGCCCTCAACCTGTACATGTACCATCTAAATACCTCACAGGCCCTCAACCTGTACATGTACCATCTAAATACCTTACAGACCCTCAACCTGTACATGTACCATCTAAATACCTCACAGACCCTCAACCTGTACATGTACCATCTAAATACCTCACAGGCCCTCAACCTGTACATGTACCATCTAAATACCTTACAGACCCTCAACCTGTACATGTACCATCTAAATACCTCACAGGCCTACAACCTGTACATGTACCATCTAAATATCTTACAGACCCTGTACATGTACCATCTAAATATCTTACAGACCCTGTACATGTACCATCTAAATACCTTACATGCCCTCAACCTGGTCATGTACCATCTAAATATCTTACAGGCCCTCAACCTGTACATGTACCATCTAAATACCTTACAGGCCCTCAACCTGGTCATGTACCATCTAAATATCTTACAGGCCCTCAACCTGTACATGTACCATCTAAATATCTTACAGACCCTGTACATGTACCATCTAAATATCTTACAGGCCCTGTACATGTACCATCTAAATACCTTACAGGCCCTCAACCTGGTCATGTACCATCTAAATATCTTACAGGCCCTTAACCTGTATATGTACCATCTAAATACCTTACAGGCCCTCAACCTGGTCATGTACCATCTAAATATCTTGCAGGCCCTCAACCTGTACATGTACCATCTAAATATATTAGAGGCCCTCAACTTGTACATGTACCATCTTAATATCTTACAGACCCTCAACCTGTACATGTACATGTACCATCTAAATATCTTACCGACCCTCATCCTGTACATGTACCATCTAAATATCTTAGAGGCCCTCAACTTATACATGCACCATCTAAATACCTCAAAGGCCCTCAACCTGTACGTGTAAATGTACCATCTAATATATGACAGACCCTCATCCTGTACATGTACCATCTTAATATCTTACAGACCCTCAAGATGTACTTCTAAATATCTTACAGACCCTCAACCTGTACATGTACCATCTCAATATCTTACAGGTCATCAACCTGTACATGTTCCATCTCAATATCTTACAGGCCCTCAACCTGTACATGTACCATCTAAATATGTTAGAGGCCCTCAACTTGTACATGTACCATCTAAATACCTCACAGACCCTCAACCTGTACATGTACCATCTAAATATCTTACAGGCCATCAACCTGTACATGTTCCATCTAAATATCTTACAGACCCTTAACCTATATTGCCTGATTATCATACAAAACTTTAGCCTAAATGTATACTATTTAAATACCAATCTTAAACTTTCATTCATATAACCAATTTTAATCATATGAATTGAAGACCCGTTTCTGAAACAAACACTATTTACATACAACATACATGGTTTCACATTGGTATGCATGGTCCGCAAAAACTATATACATTGTACAACAACTTAAAACGCAAATAAATAGATTACCATTACCTTAGTAAATAAAATGCTTTATACTTTAACGAATATACCCAGCTTCACACCTGAATAAATTTCTCAAAGTATTGTTCTGTCCAAAATACCTGTACAGAGTGGCATCACATAAAGTCCAAAAAATTAGACGGCGATGCCCTATCCATCTTCCGCCCAATATCTGTCGACTTGTTGTAAATCAATTTGTAACAACCTGGCTACCATCAGTCGTAAATGATCTAACAGAAGTATCTAAATATATCTGTTTAGCATTCAAATAAATAAAACATTGGTTTGAAATTACAATTTATAGATCGGAGATTCTTACCGGGTTGATTGGGATCGTTTATATCAATTACATCTAATACAATTAATGGGAATTATATTTGGCACGATAAGCTTAGAGAAAGTGTACACGAATCTAGAATTATGCCAAAAGCATGTCAATTTATTTACAGAAACACAGTATATACCTATACATTGTATTGTGATCTCACCCTGTCCCGCCCAATACCTCCAAAGCTTCCAGTGCTTAAATATAACTCAACAGCAAGACTGCTTTCGTTTTGAGTCTGGTCTTTTTAAAGATGAGCTTGACCTTTCAGTGCTGACGGCCACTACGAAGTGACCTTGATGACAAAGGCCACATTACACCCAAACGGTAAAGTTGTTTGGGAGCCTCCTGCAATCTACAAGTCGTCGTGTCAGATAGACGTGGAGTTCTTCCCCTTTGATATCCAGCAGTGCAGCATGAAGTTCGGGTCGTGGACGTACGACGGCGATCAGGTCGACATCATCCACATGTGCTCAGACGAAGCCATGGACCGGAAGTTGATTGCAGAGGGTATTGACCTGCGAGATTTCTACCCGAGCGTAGAATGGGACATCCTTGAAGGGACCGCCCGGAAGAACGTCCGCCATTATCCCTGCTGTCCCGAGCCGTATCCAGATATCACATTTAACATCACAATGAGGCGGAAGACTCTGTTCCACACAGTCAACCTTATCATCCCATGTGTCTCAATCTCATTCCTAACTGTCCTAGTGTTCTATTTACCCTCAGACAGCGGAGAGAAAATTACTCTGTGTATCTCCATTTTGCTCTCGCTTACTGTATTTTTCCTGCTGTTGGCGGAGATAATTCCGCCTACCTCCATAGTGGTGCCCCTGATCGGCAAATACCTCCTCTTCACCATGATCCTGGTTACCTTGTCCATCCTTGTCACCGTCATAGTCCTCAACGTTCACTTCCGGTCTCCCTCCACACACACCATGTCGCCATGGGTGCGAAGGGTGTTCCTCAACATACTTCCACGACTGTTGATCATGCGTAGACCTACCACTGACCGGGAGGGAACGCAGTCACGTGTTACTGTAAGAACTTGGAACGGGGTGGAAATACGAAATTCCTACCCAGATCATATATGTAACACGATAGACGGGGAGGACATACGGTTCATCCGCCATGGACTAGAGGAACTAGTTGCTGCAGCGGAGACAGATTCCTGCCATAGGAGAAAACCGGTCCCGTTGGAGATACAAAACGCTGTGGATAGCGTTTTCTTCATTGCTGAGCATTTAAAGTCAGAGGACCAGGAAAATTCAGTAAGTACATTCCAATTAGCCTGCTTGAAAAACGGGTTATTCCCAATTTACTTCGACAAGGAAAAGTATTTAACCGAATATAAACGAATTTCGCGCACGAATTTCCTCAATAAAACGATACTCAAAGAAAATATCTAAGATTTCTCTATATGTTTTCTTGAGGTTATATTAAACCTGTATCACGTGCAGAATGTGTAAATTATCAAAAAAACGTCCGTTTGATTACAGCCAAGTACATATAAAAACACAGAAATATGTTAATGATGTACATAACGCATTCCAGTATAACATGCGCCTGGCTCACGGTATACGCGTGATTTACGTCTATCTATATTATGATCGAATAAAAACTTAACGCAGTTCAAGTGCTATACATCTGTTTACTAATGGTGTGATATATCACATTAAAGAGATTGCAGAAGTATATAAGTACACTTTGTAAAATGAACGGATCTAGCATGGTCACCCGCACTCTTGTGTGTTAATGTGATGTTAAGCGTTCGTGTGCTGCGGTTTTGTGACAGTGCTGTGTGTAATTGGCGCGCGTGACATCGCACATTGTCTAGCAATTCTATTTCCCTTTCTTCAACTTCTAATCGATTTCTTAAAATTGAAGAGGAAAACGACTTTGAGGATAAATATCCCTTTTCAATCGGACTCCCGTCCAAGTCAGTCGATCCACGTTTTATTTATATTCATCCTGCATCCCGCCAATTGTCAGCTAATGGAGCATTTCATTTTTTGCATTTGTTTTTTTTTCTATCGTTGAACCATTGAAATTGAACAAAAATTGATTTAGTGCAAGTCCGTTGGGTTAAAGTACTCGGTTAATCTATTTGTAGGACAAATACAATTTCTCAAGCAGGTACATTGTACGCATGCGCGGTATTTAGATATCCGGTGTAGGTTCAGAATCTGTTGAATAATTCAAAGAAAAAGGCCACTCCACATAACAAATATTTCTTTTAGAGCTTTATGCATGGTTTCTGTTATTGTAGTTCTATGATAAAACTATTACCGGCTATGTTTTATACGACATTTATCGGTATAGGGTTCAGTAACGACATGGTAGAGCAATAAGTATAACGCTTAGCAATATTCACATCGCCATTGGTTTCAACGTCTTTCTAAATCATGTCCAACTCAATTGTCTTTGTAAGTCCGGATGTGGGCAGGCTAAATATAACTAACCACCGAGCATTACACAAACGACATATTCTGAAATTTGATGTTTTACAAACAAATATAAATCATCTTTATTTAAACAAATTTATGGACGTTTTGAAATAAACAACATTGCAGTTCTTATCTGAAGCGTTTAATCTACGAATGTTTAGAATGATTGCATGGCAGCCATACTGGAGTAAAGAGTGGATGTATAGTGGACGTACTTTAGAACTGGTTAACCAAATATGGCTTGGTACTTTAATACAACAGCTAGGTGAGGGGCGTGTATTTAACAGATTCGGTTTTAAAGCATGTTGAGCGCGTGTTTCGTGCTGAATTGTTAAACCACCAAATCAATGCTTTCCCACTTTTTGTCTTATCTTTAAATGTTTAATGCATGTATATTCCCTACGAGGTATATCGGATCACTCAAGAATCCATACTTGCAGTAATTTCTTCCACTCCCTAATAATCTGTAGCGTATATAAGTTTGTTTTATTTCATAATCCATATTAGGTCTTTATTTAAATATTTTTGGTCGGGTGATTCATCACTGAAAAAATCTCAAAAGGATTGGTACATCTAAAAAGCAAACATGTACAAATGTGCATGCGTATTTGTGATGAACGTCGCGATAAATTCAAATGACGGCATGAGCGCGAGGCCAACTTGATGACTGTTCTAAGATACGTCGATCAGTTTCCTGGATTATAACAGAGATACATCATTTTGTTGGATTAGACGCGCCCCTTAACCTAGTCAGCTCCAATATAGCATGTAACAATTTGTTTTCGTGTTTTCGTCTGTGGAAAATGTTTGGAAATATTGAAGAAATTAGTTCGTCAAATTTACATACAGTCAATTTAAGTAAGCCGTCAAGTAAACAAGTTACAAAATCACGCCTTTCTTTTATGAATGCTATTAACTGATTATTGTCGTCATTTTTATTATGACGTCATAATTGTAACGTTGGATACCACTGTCCCTCTCTGGATAGATGGCAGTATTGCTCATTGAACAAGCGTATAAGAGTAATTCGATTAATTTTAACAAAATACTAAAAAATATTACGAGTGACTGATTTTCTATGAGATAAACAGATTCCGGAAATTTTAAATCTAAACATTTACATTTTCTAGCACGCTTCATTGAATTTGCTTTTATCCAGTTTGCATTTATATAGCCTATGAATGCTAACTGAAAGCAGTTCAATACTTTAAAAATACACAAAAATACTCGTACTGCTCTACACAACTTTAAAAATCATTATAAAATTTACTTATTTACTTAATATCCTTATCTAATATGTGTCGCTCCTATTGTCCATTAAACAGATAAAAGAGGACTGGAAGTACGTTGCTATGGTGCTGGACCGCTTGTTCCTGTGGATCTTCACCACCGCCTGTGTAGTGGGAACTTTCGGGATCATTCTACAGGCGCCCACAATTTACGACGCCAGAATGCCTCTGACGCCCCAAGACACGTGCTTCCTGCCGTCTTAGTGATGACGTCATGTCTTGTGATTGCGTCATCGTGTGACGGTTCCATATCTGTGATAGTGACGTTGATATGATTGTGGACATGTGTGGACGTGTGTGTCCTACTAGGGTTATGCAAGGCCGTATAGTGACTGTTGGGACATGTTCGTGGTGAAAACGTGACAGATTGTATGTACACCGATTGCCCTAGAGATAGTATAAATGTTGCAGATGTTACGAGTTTAGTGTTTATTTATTAGCTTTCATAGTTTATTTCTGTAATATCGTAGTAAACTATTTGTAAACAAGAGTCAACCAAATTGTGGTTTAATGGCTTGAAATACTTTTAAGACAAAAAAAAATTGTTCCATTTATGCATAATGACCACAAGATGGACAATGTGTATAAACGCCTACGTGGTATCGTTTTAAGTATTTATAATATCCTTTTAGCAGTTAGTTAAATATTATTTAATAAATAGAGACAAAATTCTTAAAAAGTCAATTATTACGTCTTAGGTAAATACATATCATTTATCGCCACTTGATTTATTGGTAGGACAAATAAATCTGACTCATCATGCCGCCGGAATTATGAGTCCGGATCGTGTTACGTTTCATAGTCTCCCTGATTAGGTAGCTGTTTCCGCAAACGAGACATTTTTGTTTTATTATTAAAAAAGAATCTGGGAGATTGTGAAGTAATTCTAATATATAAATCTCATCTATACTTTTTGCTTAATTTTGAAATGTGCTGCGCAAGTAAATATTTTATATCACATAAAAAGTGCCCTATAACATTTTCCTGTCCGTTTAATATTTTGAATAGACACTTAGGGCGGTGTGACATTTGTTGATTAATAAAACTTTGATGTAAAAATTTCAAACATTTCTAAAAATACATTTTAAACAATCCCAGACAGTTAATAAGAACTTTATTACGATGTGAGTCGGGACATTTTGTAGTCTACACAAAGGCCATAGTCTTGTGAACATTTACAGGAAGAGGTACTTTACAGCCATTGACGATGAGGAACAGTAATATGTCTGGTTTAGAATTCAGGAACTGGTACATGTTCTTTACAATATCTGGTTTAGCCTACAGAAACTGGTACTTTACAGCCTTGACAGGAACAGTGTACGTGTCGTTTAGTTTATGTTTCATATCTCTTATTGTTGTTGTTGTTGTTGTTAATTTGTTCTTATTTACATTGGAAATCTAAATAGTTAACAAACACTCAAGTTTCTTTGAGTTATTTTTGGTCGTCATCCATAAGATAAACATCGATTTGTTTTACACAGACAAGATTTGAATACGACTTATATTTTGACCCAAAGACTACAAAGAAAAAATCCAGAATGCTTTGGCACTGCTTTGATGTCAAGGTGGACTTCAAATCGCATTTGTTTCCTGCCAAAGGGGAGTAACCATATGTAGAATGTGTTCGTGTTGTGCCGTAGACTACAGCACTATACATACAGCTAGTTAATGTCGAACAATGTCGAGTTCAAGGTCACGTTAAACCTTTCTCAAAGTTCAAGGTCACATACACATCATTTTGCCCTCCCTGTAAGACTCTGGAGGACTTCAGAAGCCGAAGGAAACATTTAAATAAACCATCACATTGACAGACGTGTTACAGATGTTATTTTCAAAATATGATCCTTGATCTTTTTTAAACCACAAATTCCTTTCTTGTGTTTTATTTATTAAAATTATATATTTTACAAAACTGACAAAGGAATGCTAAACTGTGTTTGCCGTAAACTTAATGGTCAACTGTATTGTTATATAGGCATTTAGTATTTGACAACAGCGACATATGAAAGAATATACTGGGAATTATTTTACTTTTTGTATGTGCACTTAGGACGTTAACAGATTTTGTATTTGCAATTCTCGCCTAAAAGTCCTTACAAAAACAAATGTAATTAAATTAAAACTGCATAAGAATATCTGATAAATCAAGTTTATTATAAATGGTTTATTATGTCCCCCCTTCGAATGAAGGGAGACATATTGTATTAGTTCTGGTTCTTCTTCTGGTTGTTCTAATCGCAACTTGTCCGGGCCATAACTTTTAAGCCGTTAAAGATATCTTGATGACCCACAGAAGGTATGCAGTGCACTGAATTTAGGTCACTGTGACCTTCATCTCAAGGTGAAAGGTCAAATGAGTGCAACATTTTCAGTAAATTCTTGTCCGGCCCGTACATTTTAAACCGTTAAAGATATTTTGATTAAACTTGAGGTATGCATGCATTACCAACAGAAGGGCCGCAGTGCACTGGAACTAGGTATCATGCCCCACTATATACAGAGTTATGGCCCTTTTAATTTTTAAATACCAAAGTTTGGCCGTAGCATAAGTTCCATGTTATTTCACCTATGTTGACCAAACTTACTATACTTTTAATGTATCTTGGAAAGTAGGAGTGTTGCATTCTAAATTCGGGTCTCGTGTCCCACTATATAAAGAGATATGGCCGTTTGTTAATATTTTATACCGAAATTTGTCTATTGGTGAATAAGGGGAGACATATGTTTTTGTTCACAAAAAGAAAATTCTAGTTGATGTTTAATTGCGCTTGTTCCTGTCTTCTCTTAAGAACGATTTACATACATTCAGGGTCATATTTTCCACACTGTATATTCATATTTACGTACAATAACTTTCGCAGTCTTACCATTCTATACTTATTCGAGAGAAATTAATTTCTTGTTTCATTGGACGTGTATGCCTTACTCTATCTATAAATAATGGCTCCAGTAACACTTGAATGCACGATCGATACTTCACGCGAATTTACGCAAAAAATATTTCGCTATAAATAATCAACAGTCAACCAAGTAATGGTGTGTATTTCAGTTATATAGTCTGTATTATACTTTTAGTGCAACCCAGATGTAGTATGTACTGTGTTCATGAACTAACTAAGCTTATTGTCTTTTTAAAACCACGTTTTCGAAGACTGACCACTGTGCAGCAAGGAAATTGAGTATAATATAGTTTCAGTTGAAACTACTAGCTGTAATAAAATAAAATAAACAATGTTTCTTGCATTTGTATTGGTTGGATAACGATCACGTGAAGATTGGTAATTTGTGATATTGACTAGGTATACAGTGGATCTGTTGTTCGAAGAAGAAGGTCAGTATTCACTTTATGACGTCATTTCAATTGTAACGTCACAATATTAATGCCATTTGACAAATGGAGTACATTCCTCCGTACAATATCAGTGAATGTGTGGTTATATGGACCTGAGATAGTGATACATGTATTGACCTGGACCTCGTTTCGGTAAATATCAAGTTCATATAACCACATTTTAACCACATCATTAGTCTATAAGTGATCACTATTTCATACTTAAACTGACCCCATTTTGCGAGACATTTGACTTGGTTTTTTCCTTCCACTTTTCCCTACGATGACACACTTCATAAAACATTATCCGCTATCTGCACAATCGCTTTTTGTAATTAATAAGATATTTGAGTACATACCTCGCAGTTATAAAGGGTCCGCAGGAAACTGTTTGAAATTGTAATACACGTATGTGATACTGATTCTTAACTATTAAACGTCACACGTAGAATATATGACTAAAACACATCAGCGGTATCGGGAGCTTTCAATTGAAATTTACCCTTTCCGCACAATAAAAAAACTTTCAAACGGTGGGGGGTTTTCATGTGTGTATTTCTTTTGTATTTTACATACTTTAAAAAGCGACATTTAAATGTTTTATCTTGTCAAAGTACATGAATGAGGAATGTGAGCCCCACCCTTTTTATTAGTATTTGGACCCGTGCCTTAAATTCAAAAAACACATCTTCCTTGACACCACTTAAAAATACTTAGTTAAACGAAATAGGGCAAAGCAATATAATTGGAAACACTTTTTTCAAGTTGGCTTATATTGATCGCATGCAGCTTCATAAAGCACAACCAGTGAAATGGCAACTGCTCTCTCTAACACTTAACACTTTAGAGTTATGCCCAGTTTTGTGATACTACCAACGTGATGAACGTAGGAGAAGTTATCTGGATATGCCGCAGACGGTCAGTTCTGAATCGAGATGAGGGGGGGGGGTCATAGTCTCTCGCACATCTATGACAAGTTATTAAACAGAGGGTAGCCGAATCGATTTGATCGTCATTTCGTACTTTTGTAACAATCAGTGACTTACTATTATAGCTTAGCCAAATCAATTTTGTGTCAATTTCATATATATTTTACGAATCCGACGAAGATGACCCATCGTCCAAATCATCGAAACGTCACTCTTAAACATTTCACTGATTGTGCTACATTAACCTATAAACAAAGAATAAGACAAATAAGAAACCGGTACCACAGAGCTACCAAGCAAACTCAAAGTCGGATATCACATACCATAAGTCTATAACAGAAACTAAGGAGACACCAAAAAGGGGAACTGATGAGACAACTAAACAATCTGAAAATACACCAAAACACCGGGACTGATGAGACACCAAAACAACCGGAACTCGGGAGACTCCAAAACATGCGGGAACGATGAGACACCAACATAGTAAACACCAAAACAACATGAACATGGTAAACACCAAAACAACATGAACTTGGGAGACATCAAAACAACAGGAACTTCGGAGACACCAAAACAATAGGAACTGGAGAGACACCAAAACAACAGGAACTGGGGAGACACCTAAACAACAGGAACTTAGGAGACACCAAAACAAAAGTAAAGACAGCATAAGCATAACAAAATCCTAGGAAGTGATCTCCGGGAAAGGAAATGTCACTATATTTTTTTAGTGCCCCTTTTAATCAAACTTGATTTCCAGATATCCTGACAGCCAACCTTCTTGACGTCGCGACACTATCGCAGACATCACGACCAGTCTAACACACCTTGGTAGATGTGTGCTGTGAACACTCCAAAACTCCCCAGATAAGATCCGTAGTGTGTGTGTGTGTGTGTGTGACATGTGGTACCCCGTTCTGTTAGTAAGAACAATGTACATGTTAACCTACTTCCTAACATTTAGTAAGAGGAATATTTAAAACAAATAATGGTCAAATTTCTATATGTGTTTTCCTTGTGTCCTTAGGACAATATATCTATATAAAATGTCGATAATTCAGATAATTGCACCTCTCTTCAAATTATTATAAGTCTATGTTCAATATTTAAGATACTGCTATAATCTTCTCAAAAAGATTTGATTCGAAAACTGTGTGAACTAACAAAAGGTTTCTAGGAGAACACTTAATTCAAAATTAAAGATGAAGCAAAGCGTTTTATGTGTTTTTTCATTTCCTTCTTTTTACACATATTTTTTCATTGTGATCATGATTATATTATTTTTTTATTCAAGTATATAGTGTAACTTTCGTGTACAAAAGAAAAAGAGAGGAGAGGGGACTTAAGAGAGACAACTCCTGGTGATCAAAATAAAATTCCGGTTAATAATAGAGATCGTTGAAGTATGTTGTACGCCTGCACAAATATACGAAATGCATTATGTGTTCGCATAAAAAACAATTGTGCTGTGATGTTTAGATTTCAATCAAGATAAATCCAAATTTCATAAAGTACATTTAAGATGTGTTGCATAAGATTATACAATAAATTCATGATAACCTAGATCTGGGTACCCTTAGAATATGCTCTTTACACAAAACTCATATCATGCATTTTCCTTGTAATAAAATATCAATTCGGGTCACGAAAATAAGATAAACATTTACATATACTCTAAAGTACGCTACCATCGCGTTTCTATGGCAACCTCGATGGGGGAACGTTTTTAATTAATACCCAAAATATATCTTAATGTTACATTTGAGATTCCACAGTGTCTGAAAGGAATCCTTTGCACCGTGGTTTCTGGGCGTACTCGGGCGGGAGACAGACCTATTTACTTGAATAGGTCGGACACCGGCGACATATGAAAGATATTTTTATTCAAAACTGATTCGTGTGTGGCTTAAAAATCCATAAAAGTTATTGATATTCATATAGAAACTCAGTATGCCTGTGAATGCATTACCGGTACAGACTTGAACACGAACGGTACATGTATGTAATATTTAATAGTTTACCGAGTATGTATAATGTACATCTCAATTCTATGGTGAAGTAGGTTATCAAAATGGCTCGATAAGAAATTCATTGTGACGACAGTTGTAAACACGTCATGTTCGCATTCTGAATAGCAGTATATCTATTAAAATCAA